GAGAGAGAGAGAGAGAGAATGTGTGTGTGTGTGTGTGTGTGTGTGTGTGTGAGAGAGAGAGAGAGAGAGAGAGAGAGAGAGAGAGAGAGAGAGAGAGAGAGAGAGAGAGAGAGAGAGAGGGATTATGTGAGAGTGTGTAATTGGCAATGGGAATGATGTGATTGGGAGAGGAAGGAGAAACAGCAGATGGATAGTGGAGGAGGGAAAAAATGCTTGGTGCTTTGTGTCAGCAAAGGAAGGGCAATGCAGCTAATGGAGTATATTGTTTTTGGGTGTATTGGGGGGGAGAGTTTGTAGAGGAAAATGTGAATGGCGTTGGGAGCTGAAGAAGGCAGGTAAACGTCGACAGTTTGAGTGAAGATTTTGTAACGGACGATGGTTGCCTCACTTGTAGACCCATTTACTTGTGTCAGAATTTCTCATGACTGAGAAAATAGTGTTCGCCATTTTTTTGTCGTGACAAAATTTGAACCAAGAAATTCTCTCATGACTGCGAAAATAGTGTTCTGCATTTAGGCTGGTGCAGATTTGAGTGAAGATTTTGTAACGGAAGATGATTGACTCAAAGCGTTGTCGACTCTCTGAGGGGAAGATTCCACCGGTTGGTGCAGATTTGGCATGAACCTAGCCAGCTTTGTGAACAGATTCACACTTGATTTGTGCACTCTAAGCATGACCACAGCAAGAGTGGGAGGCTGGGAGCACATTGCCCTTTTATTAAAAAAAAGTGCCACACCCTATTCCAGTGTGCCAACGACCACCATAACCATGAACCTAGCCAGTGTTGTCACTAGCTACATTCTTTTGAGGACAAACACAGTACCGCTGCCGTTAGGCTCCTCTCTCTCAGATGAAAAAGATTCTTTGTGCTTTGCCATGTCTCTCAGGATTTTGTACGAAATGGTCGAAGAAAAGGATTATGAACCTTGTCAACTTCTGTGACTAGATCTGTGCACCCTGAGCAGCATGCAGACATTGTACTGGAGCTGTACCTCACCAGCTTCTACCTTGAATGAGCGCCGCGGGGCTCTAATAGCCTCCTCGCCAAACTACTTACTAAACAAGAAAAAATGAATGCATTTTCCTGTATGAGCTGGCAATATACATGTGGCACTACGATGAGGACCAACGAAATGTATCTTGCCACTTTCTTTGGAAAGGTGCACTCTCAATTTTTCCGTTTGCTGAACGCTGTGGCGAGGCCCGATGGCTGCGATCAACTCTCACAGCTTTTGCTCATGCTTCGTTGTCCTGTCCCGATTTGACAGGTAATTGAATTGGTTGGGCTTAAAGAATTGGCCTTTTACATTTTTTTTTATTTTTTTTTAAAACTTGTGATTGTTTCAGATTTCTGTTGTGTGGATCTGTTGTAATCATTGGGAACCAAGTGAGGTGAATTTTTCCTTTTTCCCAAGCAGTTGGATGTTAGAAGTTTTTTCCTTTTTTCTYTGTGGTGGTCGTGTTTTTTTTTTTTTTTKGTTGGGGGGGGGGGGGSGTGGTGGGTCCCACTGTTTCAGATTTGCTGTTCTGTGGATCTGTTGTAGTAATTGGGGACTAACTGATGTTTGATTTTTTTTCTTTTTTTGGATCAGTATTTTACTATTTCGTTTTTTTTTTTTTTTTGGGTGGTGGTAGAGTTGCCAGTGGCATGGAGGGGATTCCCCCCTTGCCAACTTCCATGTCGAAACGTCAATGTTATTTTAACTTATTTACGAGTTTTATCTCAGAATTTTATCTCAAACTTTTATCCATCAAATCAATTTAAATGGGATCTTGCGAGGACTGAGCCCTCACAGGGTCCCGACAGAAATGCAAGCGTTCTAGGCTGTGGGGGCCCAGCAAGCATTGTGCCCACGCTAAGTGTAGGCGGGCCTGAATATTTACCAGAGGCCTGTTTATGAAATTTTCCCATATGTGGGTACTCGGACAGTTGCCGGTGGCACGGAGGGGATTCCCCCCTTGCCAATTTCCATGTCCAAATTTCAATGTTGTTTATGAATTTTATCTCAAACTTTTATCTTGCGAGGACTGAGCCCTCACAGGGCCCCGACAGACAGACATGCAAGGTTTCCAGGCTGTGGGGCCTCAGCAAGCATTGTGCCCACGCTAAGTGAAGGCGGGCCTGAATATTTACCAGAGGCCTGTTTACGGAATTTTCGGACAGTTGCAACACGCCAGTTGGTTACACAGGTGCCAGGAAAGTGAGTGATAGGAACTCTGAAAACCAAGCAGCATCGTACACATGAAATCAGATAGTCCTGACCTCGAACCAGAAGCAGAACTGCAACACGAGTTTCACCAAATAAGAGCACAGCAAAAGCTCACAAGTGACAATGTTGGAATAGTCTCATCAGCATCAACAAAGAACCAATGTCACATCCTATCTGGTGCTCTGCGCCCAGACTACAAATGGCAGATCCTATCTAGCCTATCTACAATGCCGCTGGTGACGTCAACAGCTCCCAGTAGTACAAGCAGATCTCGGTCAATGCCGTTTACCTCGAGCACCAGGTATGTCTCTCGCATCACTCACAACCTCGATCCCAAACTCATGGATGCCACGTGCACCCAAGGACCACCATGCGCCCCATCCAGCATAGTGCAGCACAGCTTGGCCATGGCTGCCTGCTCATCCAGCTCGCCGGTGAGCGCATGGGCTCTGGCCAGCAAATAGCGCAGCAGCGCTTGCGCAGCATGCAGTCAAATGCCAGATGCGGAGGCAGGCACTCTCCTAAATGGAAGTGGCCTGCCTGCTGCGTGCGGCCGGCCCGGCCCAGAAGTTTCCGGTAGGGCCCAAGAGGCAGGCTGAGTTGCAGTCCAAACGAGTCAGGCAGGGCCTGTGGCGGTTACCCATGCCTAAATGCCCGCAACCTTCAGTCCATGTTGCGTATCTGGCGCAGGGCCTGCCTTGGTTACGTACGATAAAGGCAGCCTGGGCCGGGGCACTTCCAACCAACTGG